GGACATATGATGTCAAGACAAATAATGAGATGCAGATATTTTTGGTCCACACTGGAAGGCGATTGCATCAACTATGCTAGAAGATGTCATAAATGTCAGATTTACGGAGATAAAATCAATGTTCCACCTCATCCACTTCATGTAATGATGTCACCATGGCCTTTCTCTGTGTGGGGCATGGACGTTATCGGGCAAATTCATCCGAAGGCTTCAAATGGTCACCGTTTCATCCTTGTAGCCATCGTTTACTTCACAAAATGGGTAGAAGCTGCATCGTATGCCAATGTCACTCAGTCCACTATTTGCAAGTTTCTGAAGAAAGAGATTATATGTCGGTATGGTCTACCTGAGAGGATCATCACCGATAACGCTACAAACTTAAACAACAAAATGATGAACGCTGCTTGTGAACAGTTCAACATAAAACATCACAATTCCACTGCTTACAGACCAAAGATGAACGGAGAAGTAGAAGCAGCAAACAAAAACATTAAGAAGATAGTGGAAAAAACGACTGAAACTTACAAAGACTGGCATGAGAAGTTGTCTTTCGCTTTGTTCGCCTATCGAACCTCGGTACGAACCTCGACTGGGGTAACTCCATTTTCACTAGCTTATGGAATAGAAGCAGTGCTACCCATTGAAGTAGAGATTCTGTCACTCCGGGTCTTGACAGAAGTCAAACTGGATGATGCAGAGTGGGTATAATCCAGATATGATCAGCTTAATCTGATAGATGAAAAGAGACTGTAAGCCATTCATCATGGCCAAATCTATCAGAAACGAATGATCCTAGCACATGACAAAAAGGTACGCCCGAGAATATTCCGCGAGGGAGATCTGGTGCTAAAAAGAATTTGGCCAGTCCAGAAAGATTTTCGAGGAAAATGGACGCCAAATTGGGAAGGACCTTACGTCGTGAAAAAGGCCTTCTCTAAAGGAGCCCTTGTCCTGGTTGAAATGAACGGACCTGAACTACCACATCCCATCAACTCGGATGCAGTCAAAAAGTACTTCGCTTAGGATGAAAACCCGAGAGGGCGTCCTAAGTTGAAAAAAAAAATAAAAAAAGAGGAAAAAAATAAAAAATCGTTTAGGGTGAAAACCCGAAAGGGCGTCCTAAATTGAAAAAATAAAAGGAAAAGAGAAAAAGAAAAGAAAAAGAAAAGAAAATAAGGTGGGTTCAAGATGAAAACCCGCAAAGGGCATCTTGCAACCAAGGATGGGTCCAAGTTGAAAACCCGAAAGGGCCATTTGGATATCAGTTCAATAAATCCAGACAGTGGAAGCATCCCGGCATCTGAATCTCCAACCAACTCAACAAGTCGGAGAAGGGTTGCACTCTCCAGAGCGTTGTCGCATTCTCAAAGATCCCTTGGCAAAGGCTGTGTTCAAAGTCACTTGACGGCTTTTCAGCTCAGAAGTGCCCACATTATCGAGATCTAAGACATTCATATACACACTTCATCATGTATTCATTTTCCAAAATGTTTGTCATGTATTATTTGATCTTTTCTCTCTTATGAATAAAGACAATCTTTCCTCTAAATCAATTCCGCTTGAGCATCTTGAATTGGATTTAAACCTAATGATTTATTTATTCTTGCAAAAGATAATCGCATATTACTGTACAAAGATTCATTGAAAAGTACAGGTACCCGAAAGCCGATCGAGGCTCATGTACATACTTTGAGATGGTCGAGAAGCAGCTCCCAAATCTGCACATCGGATTTAAACATTTGAAGAATTCAAGATCAGGGATCAGAACTTCAAGTTTTCAAAATCCAAAGTCAACAACAACAGGCCACCAGAGATCGAGATTTCTCTTCAGAGCCCAGGATAACACATGTTGCATATGCATTTTAGGCACACCTAAGAGCATTGCATTTATAGCATCACATATATGCATTTCAGGTTTTAGCTAGAGTCAATTTCAACTTGGTCGCGAAGGATATTGGACTCGAAGTGACACAATTTGTTCGAGAGTAGATTTCAACTTCACGACGAATGATATCTAGCTCGAAGCCAAACTTCACAATGAAAGGGTCATCCACGGTTTCAACTTCACGGCGAAGGGAATCGTGTCCACCCGCAACATACAATACTTAGATTTCAACTTCACGATGAAGGATATTCAAGTCAAGGCTCAACTTCACGACAAAGGGGCCATCCATGGTTTCAACTTCACGATGAAGGGAATCGTACCCACACATCTGTAATTTCAACTCCACGACGGAGGATATCGTGCCATTCGGGGCTCAACTTCACGACGAAGAGGCTTCCCAATTTCAGAGCCAATTTCAACTTCACAGCGAAGAATATTGGACTCAAGACAGCACAAGCTCAACTTCACAGCGAATGGGCGGCTGACTGTCAACAAATAAGTTCCCAATTTCAGAGCCAATTTCAACTTCACAACGAAGGATATTGGACTCAAGACAGCACAAGCTCAACTTCACAGCGAAGGGGCGACTGACTATCAACAAACTTTCCAGTTTCAGAGTCAATTTCAACTTCACAACGGAGGATATTAGACTCGGAACAATACTTGGATTTCAACCTCACAACGAAGGATATCCAATTCCAAGGCTCAACTTCACGACGGAGGGGCCATATACAATTCCAACAAAGGGCATCATACCCCAACAGATTGACTCAACTTCACGACGAAGGAGTCATCTGTAACACAGCCATGCCGAAGTCTTAAGGACAAGTTTCACGTTCACGACGAAGTATCTTGAGCCCGGAGACGATTCAGAGGCCACTTACTAAAAGCTTTGAGTTCGATTTCAACTTCACGACGAAGAATATCGCGCTCAGAAGCTTCAAGTCCAACTCAACCTCACGGCGAGGAAGCCATTTCGTGATTTCATTTAAATATCGGATTTCAACTCCACGACGGAGAACATTCGATAATGACGAAATTTGTGTCTTTTAATCTTTGCTCTATTTTCGTTACACGATAATAGGCAAAGAGAAGCAGCTGTGAACACACTATTTCGTCCCATCCTCATACCACACATTTATATATTTATGTTTATTTAACATATATATATATATATATATTTTCATTTCAATTGCAGGTCCATTCTGGCCCACATGGGACCCAAAATCAACTACCCAATGTTAAGCCCATTCCAAGCCAAACCCGATACAACCCTATCTCTCTTTCCTCGTCCAGCGCCGCTTGACTGAAAGCGTAGAGACCTCAGCCGGGGACTCTTCACCCCACGGCCGGTTTCCTCGGAATTTTGGTTGCATGAAACATCAAGTAAAAATGGATTAGAAACGTGGGACTCTCAACAACAAATGAGCAAGTATTTTAGTCCAAATAGGACTCAAAAATCAAGCTAAAAATAGTGTTTTTTTAGTATAAATAACCATTGTAATCAACAGTAGAGAACTACGAGTTTTACACGATTGATGTACACGAGATACCCTAGAAATTTGAGAGAATTTTCACAATTACTAGAGGCAAGCATCACACACAAACACACATACTAGAGAAAACCGAAGCATTGAGAACACTTGTAAAGCATTTCGAAGAGTAATAAGAAGATGTACATTTTTTTTTACCTTTCGTTTCGTTGGGTCTTCATTGCATGCATACGATTTTGTTATGATTAAAACCCCAAAAGAATCAAACCCCAACAAAGCTTTCGGCCGAGGATAAAAGGGGTTGTGTTTTTTTTTAAATATACTTTCGATCTACACCCCTGGAGGCCCTTTTTTTAAATCAAAAAACCCATTTGATTTTCTAAGAAAAGAGAGGAAAAGCTTTTGACAGGTCAAAAAAAATGTTTCTGTCGTCGATGATTAGAGGCCTCCGCCGTTGAACGGCGATGGCGAGGCGACGAAGAGGGGGTTGTTTTCTGGTTTTTGGAAGAACAATGATCTGTGTTCTTCATTTTGAAGAACAAAGGAGAGCACTTTACAAAAGGGTGGGGGGGACGCATTTGAGAAAGAGAAATAAGAATGTTAATTTATTTTTTTAACTCTTGTACTAAACCCATCAGACTATCACAACCCGATCCAAGCCATCGTCTGACCCGTGTGTTTTCTAATAAAAGTGGAGAAATCCCACTTTTGATCCCTTTCTGTTATAAAAGGTCTCGTTCCGATCCTAAATCTATTTTAATTCGGCATATAATTGTTATTTTCTTTTAATCTGAGCACCTAACTTTTTTAAAATTTCAATCCGACCCTTATATTATTATTTTCATCATTCTTATCATTTATTTTATAATGTATATACGTTTTTTATTTCATTCATATATCTATTATTATTTTATATAGTTTTTAATTTTTTTGTTATTTCTTTATTTAAGTACTATATCTTATACTATTATTAATATTTTTTTCTCTAATATTTAATTATCTAGTATTATTATTATTATTATTAAATATATATATATATATATATATATACTTTTTGTCCATTTTATTTATTGTTTTATCTAATATATGCTATTATTTTACATTTTCTTTATTTTAACATTTATATATAAGTATATGTGTGTTTTTCCTTTTGTGTATATTTTTCATGTTTTTACTCTTTTAGCACCTTAATATTTATCATTATCTTTCTTATTTTTCTTTTCATTTCTATTTTTCTTTTGTATTCGGTTAATTAAATCTAATATTCTTTTTAAGGGTACAATTTCAAATTCGTCAAAGGTAAGTTTTGGAATCGTTATTTTACCTTCTAATTTAAAATTAAAATTTTCGTAATTTAAGACAACTGAAAATTATGTAGTACCGAAAGGGCAGTTCAAGGGTACTAACCCTTTCTTGACTGTAACCGACTCCCGAATCTGACACATCTTTGGTAAGACGCAGATCAGGTAAGAAGGTATCTAATCAACCCATTTGTTTTAAAATAAATTATCGGTGGCGACTCTCAATTCATTTAATCCAAGTCGAAGCCCAATTCCGGGGCCCAACCGAAAGACGGTTACACAACTAGTCACTAAATAATATCAAGAGAGAGAGAGAAAAAATCAACGTCTGGCCGGAGGAGTAATCACCGGTGACAAATAAACTTGAGTTTGTATCACAGTTACACCAAACTTGAACCCCGGAACTACCGTGAAACCGACTCTAGCATCAGCATTTGCAGCGTTGATTTCACCATCGCACACATTTTCCATGTACACCTGGGAGAAGCCACAACCATTTTTCACCTGAAAGATGGAAACTTGTTCCTGCATTGAGAATCCCAAGCAATGCAAGAGCCAAAACCGCCTACACATCTCTGCAAAAGCTGTGAAAAAAGCTGTATCCGGGAACCCACTCGAGGTTACTAGTTTCCTTTGGTTCAAGTTGCCAAAAAATGAACACTCCATTTTAGAATGGACGAGGTTGAGGTACTTGGTTCTGATGAATTTAGCGAAACAAGAGTCTGGGTTTTGAGCTAAAAACGATTTTGGGTGAGCAGATTTCAGGCTCTTGAATGCGTTGAAATACTGCAGGGGGTCGAGCTGTTTTGTGGGGGAATCTTTTGTGAGCCCAAAATCGTGGGAGTTGAAGCCTTCCAACATCGTTTTACACACGAAAGATTCAAATGCAAAGCACCTATGGCTTTCTTTTGCAAAAACAGCTCCAGGTTCAATTGCTTCAGCAGCTGCAAGGAGATCCCATTTTGCCAACTCCATTTCCCTGACCATCATCTTCGTGAAACTGCGAGCAGATCTCAAAGAAAAGTGTAAAACTTGCACAAAATGACTCGGGTTCAAATTCATGGACTGGACATCATCAAACATGGACAAAGGCTCACTGGCGTTTAGCTTCTTTTCCAAGGACTTGTTACAGACAGTGCAGTCTTGAAGCTGCTTGTGAAGTAGAGCAATGTCTGAATCTTTATCTTCAACATGGGATTGCAGCTTCTTGATGGTGATCTCGTAAGTCCGCATCAAGCTTTGTTGTTCTTGAATCTCAGCAAGCATCAAAGTGACCTGAGGTGAAAGATGGAGCTCTTTCTTAAAAAACTTGAACTTTAGCTCCGAAAGAGCATGGAGCTCTTCCACAACAGCTTGGTCAGAAGCCTGAATAGCGTGGCCGTTGTAAGGGTGTTGAGCCATTTGCAGCTCGGCGTAAGCAGCTTTGATGGAAGTAACACCGGCGAAAACCTTGGCAAGCAGAGCTTCCAACACAGCTTTCTGCTTAACCTTGGAGTAGTCCCCTGCATGGGAAGAAGCTTTGCGGTTTGGTGTGGAATCATGGTGTTGGGAAGTAGTGAGAACACAGATCCCAACCCCTTTGCTGGAAGCAATTTTTCTAGCGCTTCTTAGGTTGATTACTTTCTGGAGAGTTCTTGCTAGTCTGCTCTTGTTATTGCTGTTCGATAAAGTTGATTCGGGTTTGATTGTTTCCATTGTGGTGAGATGAAATTACAAGCAACTTGATTTTGGAGCATGAAAATGATAACAGAGGTTTTTGGTTATTGGAAAGGAAATCAGGGGAAAATAAAGTTAATAGGATGGATAGGTTTGAAAAGCAACATAAGAAGACAGCTTTGAGTATTAGACTGGAGTTAAAGACGAAACTGGGATTCAAAACAAAGACAAAGTGAAATGTTTAAATACTTGACAAATATGTATATCAATAATATGAGTTAAATTTAGAGGTCATGGCCGAAAGAAGATAGCGACTACAATGTCCATAACTAGGCTTAAATTGTTGATAACAGAACAGATTCTGTTGACCCATGTGACCCATTATTGAACATGAAATCTTCTATCCTAATCAATTTTTATGATAAGACATTTCGTTGATTTTCCTTTTAACGTAGTTCAGAGTTTAGGGATAAAACAAATACTGTAGATATTATGGTTTGAATGAAAATGTATTCTTTACAGTTGTATCAACGATTGAATTCACCCATTAAGTTAATACTAAAATCTACGTATTATCTACGTTACAACGATGCCGATTACAATTAGGGGACATAACTTGAGACGCTACAGTTAATGTTTATAGCTTTGCATGATGAGAAATAAGTAACGCTGCTTGTGTGTTAGGCAGATCAAACAAACATCATCATTAATTTTTCATGGATAAAGCATGTAATCGCTAATAATCATTAAATCTACCACACGCGCCTAATATATATAATATAGGCATGCAATGCAAGCATGCAATTCGTTACAATATTAAACTACCAGCTTCAAGATCAAAGGTTTCAACCTTGCAACTTTTCTAGAGAAGGGGCATGCGTGCGTTTAAATATTTACAGTGCTTTTTCATCATATAATATATGTTGTGTCGGAGCTTAAATAGTGTATATCTGTTAGATTCAAATTTTGCTAATATGTCACATTTTATTTTCAAATTGCAACACTACTTGGGGAAAGAGGAATTGGAGTTAAACAAGAAGCAATCATATGTACGAAATGTTGAACAAGCTAAATTCATATCTTAAAATCCAGCTTCTTGCTTTAATTTTTATTCGGCTCCTGCTTTGTACTAATACCATAAACTTGTCAGCCTCGGCAAGCATAAATGTCTCATCATAAAATATGGAATCCAGCAGCAATGATAAGATACGGTGGTGAAAACCGCTGTTTCTTCTCACTGTGAGAGGGGCCATTGGGCGACAGTTCATATCCCTTTAATGTCCAAAAATGATCAGGAAAATTCACGTGATTGTCACTGTTACTCGAAGCAAAACCTAAATTCTCCGACAACATGTGTAATTGTTAAGCATCTTTGGCAGCCAGCCCCTTTAACAGTTCGAGGGATTTTTAAGGTATTGAGTTTCTTTGATGGGATGGGAGTCAATCTTTTTGGCTACCTAGCACTAAAATAGTAAGGGTAAATATATTGTTTCTCATTAAATTTTACGTTCTTTTCTATTTTATTTATTGTATTTTTAACTTTTTTTAATTTATTGATTAAATTTTACAGATTGAATTATTTTAATCACTCCTATGTTATTTCTCTAATATTGAGATGACATGTAATTTTTTTATTATTTTTTAAGTCACCATGTGTTTTATTATTTTTTATTAGTATAATTTGTAATGACTTCTCATTAAATTTCTCAATCCACCGACCACCCTCTGCTGCACGTTCCATCGCCTTTCAATCCAAATTTACCATTTTCATTCGAACCCAAAGCAATGTAAAAAAAATCTCTCAGCCCATAATCATCACCACAGTAAAAAAAAAACCACCACTCTGCATTTCACTCTTATCACTCTATCAATCACCTCCTGTGGACTACCACCAAACCCATAATACAACCAAGAATCATTTTAATCCCTCACTGTAAAATCAAATACCAACCCAAATATTGAAACAAACACACAATATCACAACCATCAACAACATCAAAAAGATTAAAAAAATGAAGAACAAAAGAAAGAGAGATGGACGAAAGTGAGAATGCCACTATATCTTGTTTGGTGTTGATCTAACGGTGGAATAGAAGACGTTTGGAAATAAAGAAGTCAAAGAGTTTTGGTTTAGATCCATCAACTTTGAGATTTTTTTTTGTGAAAATGACGTTGGATTCGTGTTCAAGAGATGGGAAATAGTCTGTATGAAAATTTTGGGATTCAACGTCACCATCAATGAAGGTAGACAGTGGTTGGAATAAAAATAATGTGGTGACCGGCGGCGGCAACCGACAAATTATTTGCAAAGTAGAGAGAAAATTGGGGGAAAGAAAAGAAAAAAATAAAGAAGAAAAAGAATTTTATAAAGGATTTGAAACGATGTCATTTTGGTTTATATTTGAGTTTTTCAAAACGACGACTTTTTGAACTTATTTCATGTCATAACACTGTTAAATAGTTAACGGCAGAGTGACCAAAATAGTTGCAATTCGAAAGTTTAATGAGCAAATTGAAAAAATTGAAAGTGCATTAAATAAAATAGAAGAGAGAAAAATTTAGTGAAAAACAATATAATTTACCCAAATAATAAAATAAAAGCAAAAAAAAAGGATAGTAAAGCAGGAGATAATGTAATCCAACTAGAAACAAAAGTTAAGGCTCATCATTGCTTGGTGTAATTAACAAATCAGATCGTATCTATAGAAGAATTTTGGAGTACTTAACTGGAATAATTCTAATTTAACTGTAAACGCGTGCACGCGTTTAGGGAGAAATTGGGGAAAGTGAAGTGAGTTTGATGCGTTTCATGTATCAACAATGGAATGAAAATATTTGTATTATATCATATTTGTTTGAAGACTTCAGATCATGCCTTGTTAATATGCTTTTACAAAAGACAGTAACATTATATAAAAGCACTGTATTTTAGTTATTTATTTATTAACAATGTCATGATTGGTTTGAAAATCAATAGAAATCTAGGTTACAAAAGAGATACGGGGGCAAAAACGCTAACATTCTCAGCTACATCATGGGCAGTGCCTGCCTGTGTATCCGGCTCTGTATGTTTAAAATGAAATGCTTGAATGAGGCTGAAATATGTGTACTTTTTTTTCAATGAATTGATGAGAATTTATTGATTTTATGAGAGCAAATTGCAATGGAATTATTAACAATTAAACCCTAGTAGAGTTTAGACGGTAGTTGAGAATTCAAATTTATTACTAGAAATATAAACGAAATCAAACTCAAATATTAATTAACTTAACTCAAAAATTAAAAATTTTAAATATAAACTTGACTCGAACTCAAAAATCTAAAATTTTTAAACTCGATTCAAACCCAAAAAGAATCAAACTAAAAAAAATTCAAAAAACTTTAAAACTCAAGACTAACTCAAACTCTATTCAAGCTTTGAGCTCGACAGAGCTCATTTCAAGCCGCTGCCCTAGGCCATGAGCCATAATGGTGGCCCATTGACCCAGTCCGTACGTACCACTTCTCGCTAGTTGCCTCTTATTTATTGAGTCCAGCTTCCACTCCCTCCTCTTTCTCAATCGATATGGGATTCTGAATCACCACGATTCTTCACCCTGAACACTGGTGGGGCTGAAGAATCTCACTCGATTGCTTCTTTTTCTTTCATATGATTCTTAATTTGTTGTATTTCTGATTTTAATTCAGGTTCTGGAATTGGTTGGGAACGCTGCACGTGATAACAAGAAGAACAGGATCATCCCCAGACGTGCTGCTCGCTGTGAGGAACGATGAAGAATTGGGGAAGCTTCTCGCCGGCGTCACCATCGCTCACGGTGGAGTCTTACCAAACATCAACCCAGTTTTTCTGCCAAAGAACCCAAGTCTCCATCGAAGACAACCAAGTCTCCAAAGAAAGCTTAGTCTGATTAATAAACTCGGATTAGTTGAGGCTTTAGGTTTTTTAGATTGTAAGTTCTTTGGGTGGGTTTTCTTTGTGCTTTTGCTGGGCTGGGGATGAGTTTTTAAAGCAAAGACGAAGATGTGTAAAAAAAACCATTATCATATGCTACTTTTAATGGAAATGGAACATCTTGTTTCTGTTCTTGGCATAATATTTAGCTCACTCTGTGTATACCAATAGCTTCCATGAGTTAATATTGATATATGCTATTAGTTTTAAATTTATGCCATCTGGTTTTGTTGATCATATTAGGAAGCAACTGCTATTTCTGTTGCAAGTAAACTCATGTAGTTTATTATATGATAAATTGGATTTTAGTTTCAATGTCAAACTTGATTCTTACTCTGAAAATACAGAAAGTAAAGAAACTCTTAAGGCAATATGGCTTATGTGGTGAGGTAGAAGACGTTGGGCCTCGAAGGACATTCTCAGATGGCTCTAAAAATGTAGTTTAATAAAAAAGGAATCCAAAAAATATTTTTTATTGGCGCTCAACTTATATATGAATGATTGAGAATAGGTTCAAATCTTGTTTCTCATTGGTTTGCTAAAAAATACGCGGATTGCAGTTAATCACTCTTGAACCGTCGACTCATAACTGGTGAATTTGGAATTTCAATTCAGGTTCTGGAATTAGGAAGTAAACACCAAAAATTAAAATTGCAAAACACTAACAGCTATGAACCCTTGTTAATTTCATTAATTTTATTTTACATAATTTGTATGTTATTTTCATGTGCATAATTTAATCCCTATCATATAATCGGATTAAAAGTTTAAGGTTTAAAGCTTATGATTTATGATTTAGGGTTTAGAATTTATGTTTAAAATTTAGGATATAATCTAACAAGTGTTTAATTAAATGAGCTTTTATTTTTCTTTTAGTACCCTATCACATAATCTGATTAAAGGTTTAGGGTTTAAAAGTTAGTGTTTATGATTCAAAGTTTAGGGTTTAAAATTTAAGGTTTAAGGTTTATAGTTTAGAGATTAAGATGTAATCTAACATGTGATTAATTAAATGAGTTTTTATTTTTCTTTTAGTAATATATAATGTAACAATTAGACTTAAGTTAATTAAAAAAAGGTAAAGTATAGTAATAGTCACTGAACATTTTCGAAACTTGCATTTAGGTCCCCCAACTTTTAAAACTTGCAATACAGTCCCCAAACATTTAATCCGTTTGCAATATAATCCCCACACCTATGAATATTAGGGTAAATTATATAAATGGTCACTAAACTTTTTAGGCA